CACTGACCCCGGTGGCTCTGCTGCAGTTGTTGTTGTTGTTGATGGTGTGTGTGTGTGTGTGTGCATTGACCCCGGTGGCTCTGCTGCAGTTGTTGTTGATGGTGTGTGTGTGTGTGTGTGTGTGTGTGCACTGACCCCGGTGGCTCTGCTGCAGTTGTTGTTGATGGTGTGTGTGTGTGTGTGTGTGTGTGCACTGACCCCGGTGGCTCTGCTGCAGTTGTAGTTGTTGTTGTTGTTGTTGATGGTGTGTGTGTGTGTGTGTGTGTGCACTGACCCCGGTGGCTCTGCTGCAGTTGTTGTTGATGGTGTGTGTGGAGCAGGTTTTGTCTCGTGTCAGATGCACCAGAGACAGAAGGCACAGATCAGCGGCTCCCTGCTTGTCCTGCGCTTGTTCCTCGTCGCTGTCGATGCTGCGACTCAAGAGCTGCTCGTTCTCAGACGACGCGTCGTTCTCACTGCAACAGAACAAGCGTTCAGTGTTTCAGGCGATCACAGACCACACACACACACACTGTCATGTTCTCTTGCGTTCGGATGCGGGTTTCCGGGAACACACTCGTGTTCACACATTCATTGCTTATTGTTAGTTCATGTTAACTAATGCAACATCTAATGTTGACAAAAGTGGGTAACACTTCACAATAACTTAATGATGGTTGATGCATTAACTAACAACGAGCAGTTTGTTACAGTGTTTATGAATCATTATTTACATTATTGTAATGTCATCTGAGTGTATTCCTCTGAGTAAAGCTGATGAAGAGCCTGATTTCGACGCTTGCTCCTCTTCTTCTTGTGGTTTATATGCTCTGACTAGCCTGTGGTGTTCACATCACAGTTACACTTCCCCGGAAGAGCCTCCGAACACAAAGACGGCTCAGAGACGCGCACAGAACGGCATTGTTTTCAGACACTCGATACACTCGCTGGTTTGGCTCACGTCTATAACACTCGCTGCTCTACTCATATATTAGATCATCTACCAACATTTATTAACTAATGCTGTAATGCAGGTCTCATTTAACTAGCGTTTAGTGTTCACGAGACCCTCATGTCACATATCACGATACTGAACTCACGATACCATATTATTGCGATCTCCAAGACGTGTTATAACGTTAACAAAACATTTACTGTTGATTAAAATGCTAACTTTGATGTTGCATTGGTGTGTAAATGAATAGGCTTGGACTTGGTGCTGGAAACCCAAAGCACAGGACAATAGAGACACCAGAATAACAATATTCATAATTCTGAAGCTGAAAATACATAATTATTTTAGATTAATATGATTTCACTCTGACTAGATATATTTAAAATAATGTAAGCCACTTTTTACAGGTAACATCAGACATTTGGCATTATCAGGACACACAAATATTCCCCCATTGCATTATTATACATCATATTCAACATTATATATAGTAGTTTAATGTAGTACTGACACTAAAACTCTGTAAACTTACATTTTTCTCACACTGTAATTTTTATTTAGGGTGAACTATACACAATACATGTTGCACTTTTGTATTGCGATTTATTTTTCACTCCTAGTTTTCAGGAAAGCAGTTTTACTTCTTAATTCAAGCTTCTGCTGCGCCTCTAAAAAGGTTTGAGGCGTAAAGGTGTCATCTTATGTTTTTGAAGCAGAAGTATTTCCACCTGGCGGTGTTTGTCTGCGCCGCCGCGTAATTATCACACGCTTGATTGTGTTTGTCTGAGATGAAGATGAAGATCTCCTCAGGCTGGATCTGTGTTCATCGCCCTCATCCGTGTGTGAGAGACATAATGTTTCCAGTCCGAGTCGCTGCTCAAACACGTCTTGCGGTGGCGGAGATACTGGCACATTCTCTCAGGCTCGACGCCTCTGTGTGCGAGGCCTTTAAAGGGGCAGTGTGTAAGATGACAACTAGTGGTCGAAATTAGGGATGCACCGAATGTTCAGCAACTGAAATTATTCGGCCGAAAATAGCAACAAAAAAAGCACTTTCGGTGTTCGGCCGAATAAGTAAAAAGACCGAATAAATGTTACAAAACAATGACGTTTTTGATGACGCGATCAAATAGTAACCAGTGTAGAGTGAGAGGCTGTAAACCACAAAAGTAGGCTTATGTCTAGGACAGTTATTCATTTGTTATGGGTTCATCCACATTTTTTTTGCACTTTTCAATGCACTTTTGTTGTTGTAGTCATACAGAGTTACATTCTTTCAGCAGTCAGTTATAGACCTATAGGCTATTCAAGAAGGGGGGCTTCAAAGATGGGCAATTTTTTTTTTGACTACTTTATTTATTTTAAAGGGACAATGTGTACTTTTTTAGGTATTTTATCATCTAAATCAATATTTCAATATTTCAAATTTTTCAATATTTCAATATTGATCAATCAATATTTTTATTCATGAATACAGTATGTCCTCAATGGTGTACAAATACCTCTGCCAATTATCTGACTTATCCTCATAAACGAAGAATGTATTATCTTTATATACATGGGACGAAGTTTAAGTTTAGACAAGTGTAAAATTTTAAAAGTCAACAAGTGTAAAGTTTTAAAAGTCAACAAGTGTAAAGTTTTAAAAGTCAACAAGCACAAGTGTCAACAAGTGTAAAGTTTTAAAAGTCAACAAGTGTAAAGTTTTAAGTCAACAAGTTTTAAAAGTCAACAAGTGTAAAGTTTTAAGTCAACAAGTTTTAAAAGTCAACAAGTGTAAAGTTTTAAAAGTCAACAAGTGTAAAGTTAAGTCAACAAGTTTTAAAAGTCAACAAGTGTAAAGTTTTAAGTCAACAAGCACAAGTGTCAACAAGTGTAAAGTTTTAAAAGTCAACAAGTGTAAAGTTTTAAAAGTCAACAAGTTTTAAAAGTCAACAAGTGTAAAGTTTTAAGTCAACAAGTTTTAAAAGTCAACAAGTGTAAAGTTAAGTCAACAAGTTTTAAAAGTCAACAAGTGTAAAGTTTTAAAAGTCAACAAGCACAAGTGTCAACAAGTGTAAAGTTTTAAAAGTCAACAAGTGTAAAGTTAAGTCAACAAGTTTTAAAAGTCAACAAGTGTAAAGTTTTAAGTCAACAAGTTTTAAAAGTCAACAAGTGTAAAGTTAAGTCAACAAGTTTTAAAAGTCAACAAGTGTAAAGTTTTAAAAGTCAACAAGCACAAGTGTCAACAAGTGTAAAGTTTAAAAAGTCAACAAGTGTAAAGTTTTAAAAGTCAACAAGTTTTAAAAGTCAACAAGTGTAAAGTTTTAAGTCAACAAGTTTTAAAAGTCAACAAGTTTTAAAAGTCAACAAGTGTAAAGTTAAGTCAACAAGTTTTAAAAGTCAACAAGTGTAAAGTTTTAAAAGTCAACAAGCACAAGTGTCAACAAGTGTAAAGTTTTAAAAGTCAACAAGTTTTAAAAGTCAACAAGTGTAAAGTTTTAAAAGTCAACAAGTGTAAAGTTTTAAAAGTCAACAAGCACAAGTGTCAACAAGTGTAAAGTTTTAAAAGTCAACAAGTTTTAAAAGTCAACAAGTGTAAAGTTTTAAAAGTCAATAAGTGTAAAGTTTTAAAAGTCAACAAGCACAAGTGTCAACAAGTGTAAAGTTTTAAAAGTCAACAAGTTTTAAAAGTCAACAAGTGTAAAGTTTTAAAAGTCAACAAGTGTACAGACTCACCTCTTCACTGGTTTTGGAGATGAAGGCTTGAGCTTATCAAATTCATCCTTCTCTGCAAAGATCACAACGTTTTCTGGAAAGACAGTGATTAAAGATCAGCGACGTTCTCGATCATCTCAGATCAGATCAAGAACATGAAAAGGGCCAAAATATTAGCGTGAGAATTATATTACAAATGTGAAAAGATGAAATATCATGGTGGAAAATAGAGCTGCATGATTTGGGGAAAAATCAAATTGTGATTTTTTTTCCCCCTGATAAAATTAGAGTTTGCAATTAAAAAAAAAAATCTGTTTGTCGAGCTGCTCAATTTGGCCAAAATGTTGTGATAAAATCAACTTCAATATCAATTTGGTTATAAAATAATAATAATAATGTTAATTATGATAATTATAATATTGATAATAATAATAATAATAATGTTACTTATAATAATAATAATAATGTTAATAAAATAATCATAACAACAACAACAACAAAAATGTTAATAATAATAATGTTAATAATAATCTTAATACTGTTAATTATAATATTAATAATGATGTTTATTAAGATGACAATGTTGTTTATAATTATAATACTACTAATAATAATAATGTTCATAATAATACAATAAAAATAATGTTCATAATATTAATAATATTAACAATCATGTTAAAAATATTAATGATGTTAATAATAATAATAATCATTAATATTATTATTATTATTATTATCATCATAATTATTAAAAAATATATAAAAATGATATTACTATTGCAATATTTCACTGTAAAATAAAAAAAGAATATATAATATATCGAACACGTCATTGGATCATGAGCGTGTAAATGAACACAGTGCTTGACTCTGAAAAACACACTGCATATATTTATTTAAATTAAATTAAATTGCAGCCTTAGCAATTTAATAGTTGTATCAAGCCATATCATGAGTCTGGTTTTATTTTGATTAATCATGCAGCCCTAATGAATATCAACATTTAAAAAGGACAAATTCACCATAAACCGGGCTGAAAGTTAAAGATTAAAGCAAAAGAATAGCAGATGAATGAATGTTACTGTATGTCACAACATTAATCCGGTTTCAGACGGGATGAGCGAACACCTCCTGTACAGGCGTTAATCCCCACGCTAATTCCCAACGGATATTCTCGGCTAAGCCACTTATAATAATAATAATAACAGAATACATGTGAGATCGGCTCTGTAATGCGGACGTCCACTTCACAGATGAGCGTTCACGGCAGAAAACACAACATTTATCAGTTTAGTTCCTGTAGTTCACACAGCAGATCTCGGTGCTTTGGATAACAGCGTCTGACAAACCAATACATGCAAATCTAGTTGTTTCTATTCTGATCAGGAACTTTAATGTACATTTTTAAGAATGCATAAAGAATTCATAATTCATGCATAAAACTCCAATAAACATGTTTTAACTGGACTGCGCTGTTTTTAATGTAAAAGGACAATGTTTTTATTCAGAGAAATGTTAAACTGATGGATTTAAGAATGTTTTGTCTTAAAATAGCTATATTTCTTTATTCACACTGGTTTCGTCATTAATATTAATAATAAAAATTGTAAATAATAATAAAGTGCGCTATGTATTTCAACTTATCTTAAGGCCCGTTTACACTGAGAACAATAACTATAAAGATAACGATAACTATTTTAGTCTTCTATTTTCTAAAATATCATTCTGAAAGTGATTCCAGTGATTATTGTTTCTCTGTGCAGTTTTCATAATAGTTGTAGTGTGGACTCTGTTGTTCTTTACCGTTATATTGATTGTCCTGGATGAATGTGAACGGGCCTTTAGAGCGACTGATTGACATTTCTGACATGTAATTTTGAGGGGTTTTCTCCAGGATGAATGTAGAGACGTGTTGGAAACATTCAGTGCCGTCAGCGAGAACGCTACATTCCTGATTATCCCTCTATTATGAGCGCTGGAGGTGTGATGAGCGTTCACCTCGTCCTGTCAGATCCTCTTAAAGGCTCCTGTTCTGCTTTTCTCCGTGTTCATCTTTCTTTAGTGTGTAGTGTTGCAGTTTGAGCATGAAAAAGCTCCAGTTCTTCTCTATATCAGTGTCAGTGTTTCTGAACTCCTGAAACGCCTCCATTGTCGTCTTGAGTTTCTTCTGGGAACGAACACGTCACAATATTCCTCATTTATATAATTCATACGCAGAATAAAGGGGCGGGGCCTGGTTGAGTTAGATTGCAGTGTGTTAAAACCAAGCGCCAATCTTCCGGTCTCTCTTGTGAATCCAACACAGAAGTGACTTAAACTGCAGTTCATCGACTGGCCACTAGAGGCCGGCTGCAGAAGAGAGTCAATCCCATAGAGCCCCATGTTAAAACGCCCAACTTTACAGCAGAAACAAATGTGTTTACAGCCCGGTGCAAAAAGTGGTTTTGGTCTATATAGCTAATTTCGCCCTTCATGGCGACTGTGACGGGGTGATTTTTTTTATAACTCACCCGTTTAATTTATATTAAGCCTTAAAGTTCGGCATAATTAAGGGCGTGGCCACTTGAGTGACAGGTGGATTGCCGCTGATGTCACTACTAGACGTTTGTCTGGTGTCTGTTAGCGTCACGTCACCTCAGCTAATCCGCCTTTTTGCCCATTTTCGTTTATCCGGGAGTGACGCGCTGCCAAGATGGCGACGGCTGGCTCCGCCCACTTTAGGCTTCAAAAATGCTCTTCAGAAACCAACGGGTGACGTTACGGACACTACGCCCATTTTTTTTTTACAGTCTATGGTTGAAACTGCCGTTTATGGTAAGGGGCGGGACATCTCAAACACACTCGAAGTGCTCGACCAATCACAACACACTGATCCAGCCGACCAATCAGAGCACAGTGTGCTTTTCAGAAGGAGGGGCTTCATAGAGACAGGAACTAAACAGAGCGTTACTGACAGACTGGGAAGAGAGGAGCCGCAACAATGGAGAATATGAGGAAAATAATCAACATTCAAGCAGGAAATTTTATTTTAGCAGTTTAACGCCTAAAGATGTCGCCCGGAGTGTCAAACGAAGCGTTCTCTCACCTTGAACCTCTTTCTTCTCCTCTTGCTTGTTTGTTTGGGCTTCCACAGTCTTTATTATTTGTCCGGAGCAGCATGCTGGGAAAGAAACGTGTTTGGTTAGCTTCACAACACGCTGTTGTTCATTTAACAACTGGAGCAATAAGAAAGACTTTGAAATATGGCAATGATCAAGTAAATGTAGAGCAGAAAGCCTCAAACTGTGGTCAGAGCTTCCCTGTGGATGAACACACATCATTTATGAGGAGCGTTGACACACACACACACAAACACACACACACACACACACACACACACACAAACACACACACACACACACACACACACACACACACACACACACACACACACACACACACACACACACACACGATGGAATCGAGAAGAGAAACGCACTACTAAATAATGACAGTATTTGTCTCATATTTGATGGTTTGCATCATTGATTATGTTATTTTCATGTTTATTACCATGAAACAGCTTTAAAGCAGAGCAAATGTTGTGAAAGCCAAATTTTACACTGTAATAATGATCATAATTTAAAAGACTGATAATTAGTTAACGGTAAGTTCCCTCACTATTATACTGTATAAAGTGAAAAACTGTATTAGATCTAATGGGACATTTCATGTAATTTTACAGTAAAATATTGTTAAATACTTTCTTCTCATCGGTTATGTACATTAAGGTTTTATTATACATATGTTGTTAAATTAATGTTTATTGCATTATTTTAGTGTTGTGATACTGTGAACTTTGATTCTTCATGTGGTTGTCAGTAGATGTTACAAAGGTAAAAAGTGATTTTAGTAATTTAGTATAATAACATTATTTGAGTTAATGAAATGATTTTTTACAGTGCATTCCCTCTGTACTGGGTAAAGTGTGTGCTGGGTAAACACTGTGTGCTGGGTAAAGTGTGTGCTGGGTAAACTGTGTGCTGGGTAAACACTGTGTGCTGGGTAAAGTGTGTACTGGGTAAGATGTGTACTGGGTAAAGTGTGTACTGGGTAAAGTGTGTGCTGGGTAAAGTGTGTACTGGGTAAAGTGTGTACTGGGTAAAGTGTGTACTGGGTAAAGTGTGTACTGGGTAAACTGTGTGCTGGGTAAACACTGTGTGCTGGGTAAACACTGTATACTGGGTAAACTGTGTGCTGGGTAAACTGAGTACTGGGTAAACTGTGTGCTGGGTAAACTGTGTGCTGGGTAAACTGTGTGCTGGGTAAACTCTGTACTGGGTAAACTGTGTGCTGGGTAAACTGTGTACTGGATAAACTGTGTGCTGGGTAAACTGTGTGCTGGGTAAACACTGTGTGCTGGGTAAACTGTGTACTGGATAAACTGTGTGCTGGGTAAACTGTGTGCTGGGTAAACACTGTGTGCTGGGTAAACTGTGTGCTGGGTAAACACTGTGTGCTGGGTAAACTGTGTGCTGGGTAAACTGAGTACTGGGTAAACTGCGTGCTGGGTAAACTGTGTGCTGGGTAAACTGTGTGCTGGGTAAACTGTGTGCTGGGTAAACTGTGTACTGGGTAAACTGTGTGCTGGGTAAACTGTGTGCTGGGTAAACTGTGTGCTAGGTAAACACTGTGTGCTGGGTAAACTGTGTGCTGGGTAAACACTGTGTACTGGGTAAACTCTGTGCTGGGTAAACACTGTATACTGGGTAAACTGTGTGCTGGGTAAACTGAGTACTGGGTAAACTGTGTACTGGGTAAACTGTGTGCTGGGTAAACTGTGTGCTGGGTAAACTGTGTGCTGGGTAAACACTGTGCTGGGTAAACACTGTATACTGGGTAAACTGTGTGCTGGGTAAACACTGTGTGCTGGGTAAACACTGTGTGCTGGGTAAACTGTGTGCTGGGTAAACTGTGTGCTGGGTAAACTGTGTGCTGGGTAAACTGTGTGCTGGGTAAACTGTGTACTGGGTAAACTCTGTGCTGGGTAAACTGTGTACTGGGTAAACTCTGTACTGGGTAAACTCTGTGCTGGGTAAACTGTGTGCTGGGTAAACTGTGTGCTGGGTAAACTGTGTGCTGGGTAAACTGTGTGCTGGGTAAACACTGTGTGCTGGGTAAACACTGTGTGCTGGGTAAACTGTGTGCTGGGTAAACTGTGTGCTGGGTAAACTGTGTGCTGGGTAAACACTGTGTGCTGGGTAAACACTGTGTGCTGGGTAAACTGTGTGCTGGGTAAACTGTGTGCTGGGTAAACTGTGTGCTGGGTAAACTGTGTACTGGGTAAACTGTGTACTGGATAAACTGTGTGCTGGGTAAACTGTGTACTGGGTAAACTCTGTGCTGGGTAAACTGTGTACTGGGTAAACTGTGTGCTGGGTAAACTGTGTACTGGGTAAACTGTGTGCTGGGTAAACTGTGTGCTGGGTAAACTGTGTGCTGGGTAAACTGTATGATTGTGTTTAGTGATCTAACCTTGTCCGCTGGGTTTGGCCTTCAGGATGTAGAACATAATGATCATCACTATAGCGATGGCCATGATGAAGATGGTGGACATTGCGATGATGAGGGCCGTTGCTAGATGACCTTGTCCTGTTGGATCTGCAACACAGTAAAAGATTCAATGTAGTTCTCAATTAATGTTTATTCTGATATTATTATTAATACTGAATGTTGCAGCTGCTTTATTAAAGGTGCAGTGTGTAATATTTAGGATGATCTGTTGACATGCAATATCATATACAATAACTATGTCTTCAGTGGTGTATAAAGAAATTATTAATGAACCGTTATGTTTTTATTAACTTAGAATGAGCCATTTCTCTCTACACACACCACGATGGTTCATCACTATGTTGTTCTTCGTGCAAAAAGCTGCTAAAGTCAGCGAATAAAACACTGACACAATGATGAACAAGTAACAATAATATTCACAATAACATATTGTTTGACTGAATAATTAAATAAAACTAATTTCTTAATTAATCTTTGTAAAGAAACCCCATTGCTGAACTGGCTACTCTCTGCTGTCTCAGACGACGATATATTTTCCTGTCGGCCATCGTAACTTCTGTTGGGGTGCAATTCGTAACTTGACCACTAGAGGCCGCTAAAAATGACACACTGCACCTTTAAAGCAATTAGGCTGTATGTTACAGTGATTTTAAATCTGCTACATTTATATAAAACAGAACGATCCATGTCATCGGAGATCATGTGATCAGTAATTTCCCAGCATGCCTTCACCTTTCTCCGGCTGCTGGAATACAGTGGTGCTGCTGGACGGCACACTGGGAGCTTGACCCGATGATGGTGGTGTGGATCGCAGGCCTTTAAAACAACAAGAGAGTTACAGGTTCAATAACATCACATAAAGAGTCAGTTGCAGTGGCGCTCCTGATACTGGCTGATCTATAGGTGTAAAAGAAGACACATGCTTTCAAAAGTACCTTTACAGAAATTCATACTGTTACATATATAACGCCTTAGGGCTTTAGCATAGAGACCGATTTAAATGTCGTTCGGTTTTGTTTCTAGTCAGAGATTTAAATGTCGTTCGGTTTTGTTCTGGTCAGAGATTTAAATGTCGTTCGGTTTTGTTCTAGTCAGAGATTTAAATGTCGTTCGGTTTTGTTCTAGTCAGAGATTTAAATGTCGTTCGGTTTTGTTCTAGTCAAAGATTTAAATGTCGTTCGGTTTTGTTCTAGTCAGAGATTTAAATGTCGTTCGGTTTTGTTCTAGTCAGAGATTTAAATGTCGTTCGGTTTTGTTCTAGTCAGAGATTTAAATGTCGCCCGGTTTTGTTCTACTAAGAGATTTAAATGTCGTTCGGTTTTGTTCTACTAAGAGATTTAAATGTCGTTCGGTTTTGTTTCTAGTCAGAGATTTAAATGTCGCCCGGTTTTGTTTCTAGTCAGAGATTTAAATGTCGCCTGGTTTTGTTCTAGTCAGAGATTTAAATGTCGCCCGGTTTTGTTCTAGTCAGAGATTTAAATGTCGTTCGGTTTTGTTCTAGTCAGAGATTTAAATGTCTGGTTTTGTTTCTAGTAAGAGATTTAAATGTCTGGTTTTGTTTCTAGTAAGAGATTTAAATGTCGTTCGGTTTTGTTCTAGTCAGAGATTTAAATGTCGCCCGGTTTTGTTCTAGTCAGAGATTTAAATGTCGTTCGGTTTTGTTCTACTAAGAGATTTAAATGTCGTTCGGTTTTGTTTCTAGTAAGAGATTTAAATGTCGTTCGGTTTTGTTCTAGTAAGAGATTTAAATGTCGTTCGGTTTTGTTCTAGTCAGAGATTTAAATGTCGTTCGGTTTTGTTCTAGTCAGAGATTTAAATGTCGTTCGGTTTTGTTCTAGTAAGAGATTTAAATGTCGTTCGGTTTTGTTTCTAGTCAGAAATTTAAATGTCGTTCGGTTTTGTTCTAGTCAGAGATTTAAATGTCGTTCGGTTTTGTTCTAGTAAGAGATTTAAATGTCGTTCGGTTTTGTTCTAGTAAGAGATTTAAATGTCGTTCGGTTTTGTTCTAGTCAGAGATTTAAATGTCGTTCGGTTTTGTTCTAGTAAGAGATTTAAATGTCGTTCGGTTTTGTTTCTAGTCAGAAATTTAAATGTCGTTCGGTTTTGTTCTAGTCAGAGATTTAAATGTCGTTCGGTTTTGTTCTAGTCAAATGTCGTTCGGTTTTGTTCTAGTCAGAGATTTAAATGTCGTTCGGTTTTGTTCTAGTAAGAGATTTAAATGTCATTCGGTTTTGTTCTAGTAAGAGATTTAAATGTCGTTCGGTTTTGTTCTGGTCAGAGATTTAAATGTCGTTCGGTTTTGTTCTAGTCAGAGATTTAAATGTCGTTCGGTTTTGTTCTAGTAAGAGATTTAAATGTCGTTCGGTTTTGTTCTGGTCAGAGATTTAAATGTCGTTCGGTTTTGTTCTAGTCAGAGATTTAAATGTCGTTCGGTTTTATTCAAGTAAGAGATTTAAATGTCGTTCGGTTTTGTTCTGGTCAGAGATTTAAATGTCGTTCGGTTTTGTTCTAGTCAGAGATTTAAATGTCGTTCGGTTTTGTTCTAGTCAGAGATTTAAATGTCGTTCGGTTTTGTTCTAGTCAGAGATTGAAATGTCGCCCGGTTTTGTTCTAGTCAGAGATTTAAATGTCGTTCGGTTTTGTTCTAGTAAGAGATTTAAATGTCGTTCGGTTTTGTTTCTAGTCAGAAATTTAAATGTCGTTCGGTTTTGTTCTAGTCAGAGATTTAAATGTCGCCCGGTTTTGTTCTAGTCAGAGATTTAAATGTCGTTCGGTTTTGTTCTAGTAAGAGATTTAAATGTCATTCGGTTTTGTTCTAGTAAGAGATTTAAATGTCGTTCGGTTTTGTTCTGGTCAGAGATTTAAATGTCGTTCGGTTTTGTTCTAGTCAGAGATTTAAATGTCGTTCGGTTTTGTTCAAGTAAGAGATTTAAATGTCGTTCGGTTTTGTTCTGGTCAGAGATTTAAATGTCGTTCGGTTTTGTTCTAGTCAGAGATTTAAATGTCGTTCGGTTTTGTTCAAGTAAGAGATTTAAATGTCGTTCGGTTTTGTTCTAGTCAGAGATTTAAATGTCGTTCGGTTTTGTTCTAGTCAGAGATTTAAATGTCGTTCGGTTTTGTTCAAGTAAGAGATTTAAATGTCGTTCGGTTTTGTTCTAGTCAGAGATTTAAATGTCGTTCGGTTTTGTTCTGGTCAGAGATTTAAATGTCGTTCGGTTTTGTTCTGGTCAGAGATTTAAATGTCGTTCGGTTTTGTTCTGGTCAGAGATTTAAATGTCGTTCGGTTTTGTTCTGGTCAGAGATTTAAATGTCATTCGGTTTTGTTCAAGTAAGAGATTTAAATGTCGTTCGGTTTTGTTCTAGTCAGAGATTTAAATGTCGTTCGGTTTTGTTCTAGTAAGAGATTTAAATGTCGTTCGGTTTTGTTCTGGTCAGAGATTTAAATGTCGTTCGGTTTTGTTCTGGTCAGAGATTTAAATGTCGTTCGGTTTTGTTCTAGTCAGAGATTTAAATGTCGTTCGGTTTTGTTCTAGTCAGAGATTGAAATGTCGCCCGGTTTTGTTCTAGTCAGAGATTTAAATGTCGTTCGGTTTTGTTCTAGTAAGAGATTTAAATGTCGTTCGGTTTTGTTTCTAGTCAGAAATTTAAATGTCGTTCGGTTTTGTTCTAGTCAGAGATTTAAATGTCGCCCGGTTTTGTTCTAGTCAGAGATTTAAATGTCGTTCGGTTTTGTTCTAGTAAGAGATTTAAATGTCATTCGGTTTTGTTCTAGTAAGAGATTTAAATGTCGTTCGGTTTTGTTCTGGTCAGAGATTTAAATGTCGTTCGGTTTTGTTCTAGTCAGAGATTTAAATGTCGTTCGGTTTTGTTCAAGTAAGAGATTTAAATGTCGTTCGGTTTTGTTCTGGTCAGAGATTTAAATGTCGTTCGGTTTTGTTCTGGTCAGAGATTTAAATGTCGTTCGGTTTTGTTCTAGTCAGAGATTTAAATGTCGTTCGGTTTTGTTCAAGTAAGAGATTTAAATGTCATTCGGTTTTGTTCTAGTAAGAGATTTAAATGTCGTTCGGTTTTGTTCTGGTCAGAGATTTAAATGTCGTTCGGTTTTGTTCTGGTCAGAGATTTAAATGTCGTTCGGTTTTGTTTCTAGTCAGAGATTTAAATGTCGTTCGGTTTTGTTCTGGTCAGAGATTTAAATGTCGTTCGGTTTTGTTCTAGTCAGAGATTTAAATGTCGTTCGGTTTTGTTCTAGTCAGAGATTTAAATGTCGTTCGGTTTTGTTCTAGTCAAAGATTTAAATGTCGTTCGGTTTTGTTCTAGTAAGAGATTTAAATGTCGTTCGGTTTTGTTTCTAGTCAGAGATTGAAATGTCGCCCGGTTTTGTTTCTAGTCCGAGATTTAAATGTCGTTCGGTTTTGTTCTGGTCAGAGATTTAAATGTCGTTCGGTTTTGTTCTAGTCAGAGATTTAAATGTCGTTCGGTTTTGTTCTAGTCAGAGATTTAAATGTCGTTCGGTTTTGTTCTAGTCAAAGATTTAAATGTCGTTCGGTTTTGTTCTAGTCAGAGATTTAAATGTCGTTCGGTTTTGTTCTAGTCAGAGATTTAAATGTCGTTCGGTTTTGTTCTAGTCAGAGATTTAAATGTCGCCCGGTTTTGTTCTACTAAGAGATTTAAATGTCGTTCGGTTTTGTTCTACTAAGAGATTTAAATGTCGTTCGGTTTTGTTTCTAGTCAGAGATTTAAATGTCGCCCGGTTTTGTTTCTAGTCAGAGATTTAAATGTCGCCTGGTTTTGTTCTAGTCAGAGATTTAAATGTCGCCCGGTTTTGTTCTAGTCAGAGATTTAAATGTCGTTCGGTTTTGTTCTAGTCAGAGATTTAAATGTCTGGTTTTGTTTCTAGTAAGAGATTTAAATGTCTGGTTTTGTTTCTAGTAAGAGATTTAAATGTCGTTCGGTTTTGTTCTAGTCAGAGATTTAAATGTCGCCCGGTTTTGTTCTAGTCAGAGATTTAAATGTCGTTCGGTTTTGTTCTAGTAAGAGATTTAAATGTCGTTCGGTTTTGTTTCTAGTAAGAGATTTAAATGTCGTTCGGTTTTGTTCTAGTAAGAGATTTAAATGTCGTTCGGTTTTGTTCTAGTCAGAGATTTAAATGTCGTTCGGTTTTGTTCTAGTAAGAGATTTAAATGTCGTTCGGTTTTGTTTCTAGTCAGAAATTTAAATGTCGTTCGGTTTTGTTCTAGTCAGAGATTTAAATGTCGTTCGGTTTTGTTCTAGTCAAATGTCGTTCGGTTTTGTTCTAGTCAGAGATTTAAATGTCGTTCGGTTTTGTTCTAGTAAGAGATTTAAATGTCATTCGGTTTTGTTCTAGTAAGAGATTTAAATGTCGTCCGGTTTTGTTCTGGTCAGAGATTTAAATGTCGTTCGGTTTTGTTCTAGTCAGAGATTTAAATGTCGTTCGGTTTTGTTCTAGTAAGAGATTTAAATGTCGTTCGGTTTTGTTCTGGTCAGAGATTTAAATGTCGTTCGGTTTTGTTCTAGTCAGAGATTTAAATGTCGTTCGGTTTTATTCAAGTAAGAGATTTAAATGTCGTTCGGTTTTGTTCTGGTCAGAGATTTAAATGTCGTTCGGTTTTGTTCTAGTCAGAGATTTAAATGTCGTTCGGTTTTGTTCTAGTCAGAGATTTAAATGTCGTTCGGTTTTGTTCTAGTCAGAGATTGAAATGTCGCCCGGTTTTGTTCTAGTCAGAGATTTAAATGTCGTTCGGTTTTGTTCTAGTAAGAGATTTAAATGTCGTTCGGTTTTGTTTCTAGTCAGAAAT